AAAAGCAAACAAAACAAAACCATTGCATAACCCTAGACTCTGATGATTGGATAACTGTGCACACTCTTTGGGCAACACTTAATAACCATTTGGGTCTACAGCATTTTTCTTGGGCTATAAGAATGAGATGCAAAACTCCAGAAAGTCAATAAATAATACCAAAGTGATTCAGAAAATTTTCACTCTGCAGCCTAGATTTGGTAGGGTTATACCCTGCTTTTCTCCTGCAATTTAAAATTAGGACTTATGTTTGGAAGCTTAATGGTACTGTAGAACAAGAAGGAAACTAAAACATAATTTTTGCAAAGCAACCCCGTTTTAATGCAACTTCACAGATTATAAGTAATTGTGGCTCTTCTCCAGTAGTTTTTGAGAGGAAATAATAGTGTGGAAGGAGAGTCTTTAGCAAAGAAAATGTGCGCTGGTGTCCTTTCTATAATTTTTGTGCTACATGATTTAAAAGTTTCCATGGATATGAAGTTGATATCAATGTGTTAAGGTAATTTCTTCATTTCTAGAGTCCTTGTCAGGCTTCTATGCCTATTTTTTTATTTGTTAGATTTATATCCTGTCTTTCATTTGGGAGACCGAGACAATGAATATAACAGTGCTTTCTCCAATATTTCCCAACAACAACCCTCTGAGGTAGATTGGCCTGAAGGAAAGTGATTGACTCAAAGTTACTTAGAGAGCTTCTCCTTCTGCAGGTGGATAGAAGAACCTGGCTCTCTTGTGTTTGCCCAATATCTTAATCATTACACCATACTGGCTCTTTAGCATGGGAAGCTAATAATTTGTTAGGGTTAACTTTTCTCCTCCATCTGTCCTATCTCTGTTCCCCTTATCCTGCCAATCTTATCTAAATAAAAATGAGTTAGATCTGATGTCCATGACAACAGTTGAAGTCAGAAAAAACTTTCTAATCCCTTGAGTCTAATACTTCTCTGCCCATGTCAGGACTAGTTTCCTTGGAACACTTGCCAAGATCTGATTTAAGAAGCTGACTGGATTCACAGATATGTACTCCAGGCTGAAGTAATGTGCCAAAATTAAAAGTTTTCTTCTTGACCATTATACACCATTGCCAACTAGCGTATTAAGCAGATTAGATGTATTAAAAACAGTAAGCCCCTTTTTCATTCTCACTGGGTGAAATATTAGTGATGATCTCTTTCTTTCCCATGAAACTAAAAAATGATGCCACACATTACAGAATGACCAAGTCAACTGTTACATAGATGGCAGGAAGTTACCAGCATACTAGTTGTTTGATGTTTACCTGTATTTATATACAAATATATTGTTTCATTCATACTGTAATATACTTTTCCTAAAAGGAAAAAAAACCTTACCTAAATATCATGTGTGATCCATAATAGAAGTTTCTTGTTTGTTTAGCATGGGCTTCTGCGAATAACGATCTACATCAAGTGGATCTGAAAATATTCAGAGGAGCAGTTCTGAGGAAGCTCATGGAAGTTCCAAGAATGGTGCTATGTTCAAAACTTCCATTTTCAGTGCCTAAAAGTTTATGAGAAATGCATTTATGCACACTGTCCTTATAGGTTCCTAGTGAACTCTGTTTTCTGACCTTTATGTAACAGGATGAGATGCTGTAGCTTCAAAGTATCTCATTGTTTTTGGTTTCTGTATAAATGCTGCAAAACATTATTTGATGACATTCTGATATTTTATAATCTGAATTGTTGTTAGTCAACTATGTATCTGTCATGTATTATAATTAGGTTATGCCCACAGAAGATTATTTGCAACACTGATGTGCTCTAGAGCAGGGGTCCCCAACCACCGGTCCCCGGACCAGTACCGGTCCGTGGATCATTTTTTACTGGGCCGCAAAGCTTGGGCACTGCCATCTTGTTTCGACGGCGCTTCCGGGTTTTTGGTTGCTTCCGGGTTTTCGATTGGAAAATGCTTCCGGATTTTCAGTTGGAAAGCGGGGTTTGGGTGCTCGCGCCCTAGTTTTGTCGAAAGGGGGTGGTGGCTTCGAACGAAGAGCCGTCCCGATGGCGGTGAAGTCTCGCATTACTCAGGTACCGGTCCATGGAAGAATAAATAATCGTGAAACCGGTCCCTGGTTCAAAAAAGGTTGGGGGCCACTGCTCTAGAGTCTGTAGTAAGCATCTTGAAACATTATGATTCTCCAGTGGATTAAGCTACAATTTGTAACCAACATATATGAAAGAAACCTCAGAATCATTATCATTTCCCACAAAACATTGAAAATTAATCCATCTCTTAGAGGTAACTAGTTGTTTGGGCACAACTCAATGAAATGCTAGGAAAATGCTCTTACATTGTAAGTTTTTGACTGTTCTCTGTTGATGGAAAACCTATAAACTTTTCTTTTTATTACAGAAAAACAGTGTCCCAGGAAACTGAAGCCAAGAACATTGCTCCAAACACAGGGAGTGTGGGCTTTGCTATAGAAACTGATTTTATAGGGCTTTATTGATGTTTTTCTCATGCAGCATTACGAGCCCAAGATTTTTGACAGACAAACATTGGAAAACTTACAGAAAGTTTAGTAAATAGCAGATGAATTTATAAGGAGCACAGATTAACAGTTAATCATGACCCTGTGTATAAAACTCTGTTATACATAAATATAGAGAATTCAAAGCATACTTAATTTTTAATTTATTGTTATTAGTAACAACATTGCTAATAAGGACTACAAAAAGAAAAACTGATTCTAAGATAAAATAAGGCTATGAGAAGATGGAGCATAAATCAAAACTGTTCCAAATAGGTTTAATGCCAGATAGGACAGAAGTCCTGGTTCTTTGCCCAGTTGTTGAAATATTTAGATAAGAAACTTCAGAATTAAAAACTTGTTTATTTCTAGAAACTATTTATTTATTACAGCAATCATTTGGCTGCTATTTGAGCAACAGAAGAATGCATCGGAGCTATATAGGGTAGTTACAACTTTTTTTTTAAAATAAGGGTATTTAATATTGACATTACAATGAAATATAGAGGTTATCAAGATATATTGAAAAGACAAGGGAAAAACTAAATGAGCTAGAATAAACAGTGCTTTTTTCATAAAAATAATTCTGACATTGGCCAGGATTTAACATCTAAAGTAAAGGTCAAAGTAGATGTGATAGGAATAAAAACATGTATGAAAACATGCCTCAAGAAGAAAGACCTGCTCTAGTTACTTATCAAAGTTCACAAAAAGGGCGTCTGTTGAGACAAAAGGGAAGCATGTGTGCAGATTACTGAGCAATTCCTGAGCCAGTTTTCTTTTAGAAAAGTTCACTTCTAGGTTTAGAATTAATCCTAGAAAGTGATGTTTTTTAAAAGTAGCAGTTAATTTGGAGGGGAAGGGATGCTGCTCATAACAGCATGTTGTAGTAATTTCACCGGAGGCAGAGATTTAAAAAAAATACTTTTCTGACCAAAGCAAAATGGATGCATTATATTATACATTGGCTTAATGGATCTATTTTACACCTTTTCTGGACAAAAAAAGACTAAAAATCACAATCCCTGAAATTGATGATCTTGGTGGAACAAGCCAGCAAAGGCTTGGAAAAATTTATGCATACAAGTAGTCCTCCATTTACAACAGTTTGTTTAGTGACCATTCAAAGTTACAATAGCACTGAAAAAAGTGATATGACAATTTTCCACACTTATGACCATTGTGGCATCCCTATAGTCAAGTGATCAGAATTTGGACACTTGGCAATTGAGTCATCTTTATCACAGTTGCAGTATCCCTAGGTCAAGTGATCAACTTTTATAACCTCAAAAGCAAAATTAATGGAGAAGCCAGATTCGCTTAACAACCATGTTATTAACTTAATAACTGTGGGGATTCACATAACAACTGTGGTAAGAAAGGTCATAAAATGGGGCAAAGTTCACTTAGTAAATGTTTCATTTAGCAACAGAAATGTTGGGCTCAATTATAATCGTAAGCTGGGGACTACCTAAATTTTGGTACCGATAAGTATCAAATAAGGAGTATTCATACTATCACACTGAGAATCACATTCTGTAGTTTCTAAAACAGTTTTGGTTTTTGTAAAACTGAAGTTTTGCATTAGAATTTATATCACTGCTTAAAAGGGGTTGCATGTTGTAGAACAACTTAACTTTTTTATGGAAATTGCTTTTCTATGTTTCCTAAGTATCTAGGTAGATATATTATGGTAAGAGAGAGGGTAGGAGTATCTGCACCACAGGTAGTGAAGCTAATTAACATAACTCAATTTGCAGATATTTTTTTTTTGATCAAGCGGGGAACAGCAAAAGAAAAGGAATACAAGACTTTAATTATTACTTGCTGGCAAAATCAGGACAACAACTGCCAGTCTGCTCGTAGCCGGTAATTGGCAATTACCAGCAGAAAACAAGCTGGCTGGTATGTTTTTTTTACCAGCAAGCAAGGAATAAGAGGTGATTTGCAATATCTGAGTTTGTGCAATGATGTCGCTACATAATCCCTGTCCCCAGTAAGACCAAGATGCAAGAATGTAAGCTTGGACCTACTTTTCTGTGGGCACTCCTGGGGATAAGCAACGTGGTACCCTCCAAACTACAGCTCCTATAATTCTGTCCCAGTGGATTTACTAACTGAGGCCAATAGCAATTTCATCCAAAAGATCTAGAAATCATCAGACTGTTAAATGCAAAAAGTCAAAATTCCATGTACCCCAGAAGATGAGGGTAAACAAAAATGCTTCCTCTATTAAGACAGATAGTAGGTATGCCTGGGCAACTTTCTCTCAAGTGGAATGACTGGTGTCAAATTAAGATGCAGATTGCTGCTTTTGTTAGCAGTGTTTTGGAAAATATCTGCTAGGAGTTTAAGAAAAGGAAATGTTGAGTGTTTACTCAGATCCTGCAGAGGGTGCTGTGCAGTGAAAGTGTTGAGTATAGAAGTCTGAGTTTAGAGGCCTGAGTTTCTGATTGGAGAATTTATTGCAAATTCAGGAGAGTACTTGGCTTTATGTAAAGCCAAGATGGCAGCAGAAGGAAAAGGTAAGTGGATTGAGGTGTGGAGAGTACTTTCCTTCCTATATTTTGTTTTCAACCATCACAATCCACAAAATCTTTGCCCTTACTGCCCCCTCCCATCAAGGATGAGAAAAGGATTTTTGTTTTTAAAATGTGCGTATGCAAATTTCAAGTAGTTCTCTTAGTTCAGAGACAGGGTTAAATTAGCCCAAATAAGTATTTTGAAGGGCAAGATGGCATCTTCCCATTCCACGTACAGAAGCAAACTGGAAGGGACACATTCCTTGCTTATTTGCTATTTAAGATTGGAAGCTTAAGCCCCCTTTTTTGAAGGAGGCCATATCATTCTCTGAAAATAAAATAAAAACATTATCAAACGAGGATGTACTGTGTTCACATTACCCATTTAATCAGGGTTAATAGAATAAATTTAATATTCAGAATTTGGACACAACTGCACATTAGTTATACCAGTCGGTTCTTTTATACATTCATGTCAGATTCAGACATTTGTCCCTAAAAGGGTGAACTAACTGCTAGTATTTTCTGACCAATTTTTTAAATTCCTTTTCTTGAAGCTTCATGTAAGGCTAATTCAAGAAAAGAAACACGCACATATGTGGAGAGAAATTTAATGAGAAGAAATTGAAGTGTTTTCAAATCAGTTGTTTCTCCTTTTCTTCTTTAGCTTCAAAATATGCCTGAAGAAAATTCACCCTTCAACTTTATTGGCAACTGTTTTTCATGTTTTTTAAAATGTAATATTTGTTCCCATTGAAGTATAATTCTAGAGAAAATAATTGCTGAAGAAAAATCAGGAAACTGGAAATAGGTTCAGCATTAATTCTTTCACAACTTCTACCTTCACCGCTGCTTTTCAGCTAAATTGGAGAACAATACTTGTTACCTTTCTGAAATATATAGATGTATAGATAGATGGCTGTATAGATAGAAAGAAAGAGACAGACAGATCTCTCCCTCTCTCTCTCTCTCTCAAGTTCATATTGGAAAATATATTTTCCAATATGAACTTGAGCATGTTTACTTGGAAACAAAAGTTACTGGATTCAGTGAAACTTGGTTCCAAGCAAGTACTTATTGACTTGGTGCAATTTTGTTCTTTCAGAGATAAGGTATGAAAAATTGGTTTTGCAAATATGCAGAATAGTATGGGTAGAATTGAAGTAATGGTACCCATTAGGATACTGATTGAGTAGGCACATAGTATTGTCACATACCTTCTATTATTTTCTTAGGTAACAGAGCGCTTTAAAAACAAAGAGGACAAAAATATTTAAAATAGGGAGAAAAGTAGAGCAAACTGAAAACAAATGATCCTGTTCATATAAATGCATATAAAAAGAGATAGTTTTAATTCTCTGGAAAAACTCTTCTCTTCAACAATTGAATTTACCACTTCAGAAAGTAGGAAAAATGCTATAAAATATTCCCCCCTCCCAACTCCAATTCCTTAGAAACAAGCCAGTGAGATATCATAGTCAATAGTTTAGAAAACTGCTGAAGATCAGAGGACCAGGCCAGTTACACTTTCCAATCATGGTTATTCTTTTTTTTTTTATTGATTTTTAAAACAAACATGAACAAACAAAACATAAAAACATCAAGCCATCTTCCATATATATACATACAGTGTGCTGGTTGGTTTACAAATTGTTTTGTGCTTCCATTTCGTAGTCTTCAATTACAATTACATTGTATATACTCTCGTACTTTCAATCAAATATTAAATACATTAATATCATTATTAATCAATCATTTGACTATACTTTTATTCATTCATGTTTTACGAAATAATCATATTTTACTTAATTTGTTTTATAACGGTTCATATTATCACCCCAAATCTATCCTAAAATCATTTTGTAGATATAATAAGAAAAGAATACATCTTTATATATTTATTATTTTCTAAGAATCTACATATTTCATTACTATGTTTTATTGTCTAACCATTGATAGAATAGATCCCAAATTTTATAAAATTGTTTATCATCTTGTTCTCTAATTTCAAATGTCAATCTACTCATTTCAGCACATTCCAATATTTTCTTAATGGTTTCCTCCTGTGATGGTGTTTTCTCATTTTTCCAGTTTTTAGCAAATACAATCCTAGCCGCTGTTAATACATTTACAATCAAATATTTCAATTCCTTACTGTATATTTCAGGTAAAATTCCCAATAAAAATATCTCTGGTTTCAAATCTATATGCTTTTTTGTCATTTTTTCCAACCATGTGTGGATTTTAGTCCAATATTTTTTAGCATCCGCACATGTCCACCACATATGGTAATATGAGCCAGGTGTCTGATGACATTTCCAACATTTTTCGGATTTATTCTTGAATATTTTTGCTATTCTTGTCGGGGGAAAATGCCACCTTTAAAACATCTTATACAAATTTTCTTTATATGCTGTTGACATTGTCATTTTATAATTTTGAGACCACAGTTTTTGCCATTTCTCTAGATCAATCCCATATCCAAAATTCTTCCCCCAAGCAATCATAGTTTCTTTAACTTGTTCTTCTTCTAGTTTAATTTCTAATAAATATCCATACAATTTTTTAATCACCTTTTCATCAGTACCTGTCAAAATCTTATCTAAGTCAGTCAGTTTATCATCGAAACCTTCTGTTTTAGAATCTTTATCATATCTTGAATGTATTTGCACATATGAAAACCAATTCATCTTTATACCTTGTTCCTCTAATTTTTGCATAGATTTAAGTTCACTCTTTTCATTCAATATTTCACCATATCTAACTGTTTGTTCCTCTTTGTATATTATAGGATAAGAAAATGCTTCAATAGTCAATAACCAGAGTGGAATTTTCAAATAACATTGTCTTTTAATCTTCTCCCAGTTTAACCACAGAGACTCCCATATATAATGTCTTCTAAAGTACCCCTGTGTTTTAGTTCCTTTATACCATAAAAAAGCATGCCACCCCAACAACAGATCATGTCCTTCTAATGTCAACAATCTAGTATTTCTTAATGTTATCCATTCCTTAACCCACATCAAATATGTAGCTTGGTAGTACAACCCCCAATTAGGCAAACCAAATCCTCCTCTTATTCTAGCATCTTGCAAAAGTTTTAACTTTATTCTTGCTTTCTTACCTTGCCATATATATTTCAACACAATTTTATTTAAATCTTCAAAGTAATCTTTTTCAAGCCTAATTGGAATTGTTTGGAACAAATATAAAATTCTGGGTAATATATTCATCTTGATTGTTGATATTCTCCCTATTAATGACAGTTGTAAATTTCCCCATTTCGCCAGATCTAGCGCTATCTGCTGCTTAAGTTTGATATAATTATTCTCTTTTAGTGTACTGCATCTTGCTGTCAAATATATCCCCAAGTACTTGATCTTATTTGTGACCTGGATTTTCAATAGATCTGCCAGTTCTTCCTTTTGTCTTGATAACATATTCTTTGTCAAGATCTTTGTCTTATCTTTATTTATTTTCAAGCCAGCCACCTTTCCATATGTCTCTATCTTTTCTATCAATTTTGATGCTGTTTCTAGTGGGTCTTCTGAAATGAAAACCAGATCATCTGCAAATGCTTGCAATTTAAATTCTTCCTTTTTAATTTTCATCCCTTTTATATTCTTTTCATCTCTAATATTTCTATTTAGCACTTCCAAGGTTAACACAAACAACAGAGGTGATAGTGGGCACCCTTGTCTTGTTCCTTTTCTTATATCAATAGAGTCTGTCAGTTCTCCCTATCAATCATGGTTATTCTATAGGTTATCCACAAATGTGACCAACATTGTTTCTGTACTGTACATTGGTCCAAAACCTGATTACCAATGGTCCATATAACCAGCTTCCTTTAGAACTCTTGGGAGTTGCAGGACTACCATTCTCTCTAGATCTTTCTAAGAAAGCTGAAGACATCTAAAATTACCCCAAAAATTTGAGTGAGTAAAGTCATCTTGGCAGAGACATGCCATTGTGAGATGACCGAAATACCCCCTTATTCAAAGAAGGGCTTGAATGTGTTTGACTACTATTCAAATCCAACCTCCTTTCACCTCATAGGAGATCTTACCAACCTTGAGAGACAAGGATGCAAATAGAAAATGGTGGAGCTGAAACTACAAAGTCAATATCTGCTCTTCCAGAATTTACAAATTCAAAATGATTCTAGATCACTCACAATATGAAATCCCAGGCATCCCTATTGGCATCTGTAGAGCATAGTTCTTCTTGAATCTGAGCAGTTTCATTAGCCATTTCTTCACAGTGGGTTTTTAGACAGTCTTAGAGAACATCTTTTCCCAAGACAGAATTTAAAGAGGGCTGGATAGCATTTTGCAGACACAATCAGGATGGCAAAACTCACACCTTTTTTTCTGCTTGAATCACCCCTGCATCAGTGGTGGGATTCAAGTTTTTTTACTACCGGTTCTGTGAGCATGGCTTGATGGGCGTGGCAGGAGAAGGATACTGAAAAATCTCCAGTCAGAGGAGGTATTTGCCGATCTCCGAACTACTCAAAATTTTCACTACCGTTTCTCCAGAACTGGTCAGAACCTGCTGAATACCACCTCTTCCCTGTATAGATCTGAACATGAGCTTTTACTAGTGTGTAGTCACATTCCAGATGGATTTACTTCCAGTGACGTTCTAGGTATCTTCCCAGCTGCTTTTCTTCTCTGACAAACCAAAGAGCTGCAACTGAGCTATAAGACAAGAGAGGTTATTTTACTGCAACAGAGTCAGACACCCTAATCTCTTCCTTATTGCAGTGGATAACCCAGGGTGGGATTCTACCAGTTCGCACCTATTCGCTAGAACCGGTTGCTAACATTCTAAGCAGTTCGGAGAACCGGTTGTTAGAAGAAATTACTGGCCTAATCCTGTAAGAAAAGCAGGAAGGAAACATTCTGGTGTTGCTTACAGAAACTGCCTCTCCGTTAACCCTTATTACATTCTTGGCAGGACTAGACTTCCTGTCTCAGGAACATCTCTGGAGTTTTTTT